GGCATTCATGATGGGCCTGCGCCCTACCCGATTCTTTTGGTCTCTGGTGGAGCGACCCCCCACTTCGGTACCTGAAATGTTACAGCGCGCGAACCAGTTCATCGCTGCTGAAGCATGGATGGTCGGGAGGCGCGACGAGCGCAAGAGGGTCAAGCTAGAGCAGTCCCAGCAACAACAGCCCGCTACCTCCCGGCGTAGGGCCGACGGCCTCAACGAGGCGGTGCCTAAGTCCCCTCCCCCGGGCCTGAACTCCTCTCAGACCGAGATATTTCTCCACATTAAGGAGAAAGGCCTTCTCAAAGACCCCCACCCGATGAGGAGCCCGCGCGAACTCGCGGACCACTCTAAATACTACCGTTTCCACCGACAGCCCGGTCACGACACCGAGGAGTGTCGAGAATTAAAAAGGCAAATTGAGGAGCTCATCCGTCGAGGGCACCTCGGCTCATACCTCCGGCCAGATAAGGATCTCTCGCCACGCCCGGAGGGACCCATCGAGCGGCACATAGATGTCATAACCGGCGGGCCAGCGTCCGGAGGGAACTCCATGGCGGGCGGAAAGGCATACGCCAGGGCCTCCCGAGCCGAAGCTTCCAAACATGAAAAAGGCCCCAAAGTCACCTTCCCGACCGGGGGACCCGAGCCAACCGAACATGATGACGCGTTGGTGATATCAGCCAGAATCGCCAACGCGCAAGTAAGAAGGATCATGGTCGACACTGGAAGCTCGGCCGATATACTTTATTGGGACGCCTTCCAAAAGCTCGGCCTGGTAAAGGAGAACATGAAGCCGGTATGCTCGACGCTCACGGGGTTCACCGGCGCCTCAATCTCGTCACTAGGGGTTATCACCCTGCCCCTAACTTTGGGAGTTTTCCCGAGGACAAAAACAGTGATGACCTCCTTTCTAGTGGTCGACCTCCCCACGGCATACAACGCCATCCTCGGACGGCCAACCCTCAACAAGATCCGAGCCATCATCTCAACTTACTACCAAACCATCAAGTTCCCGACCCACGATGGGGTCGGAGAAGTAGCGGGGAACTCCTGGGAGTCCAGGCGTTGCTACTTAACCGCCGTGTCGCTAAACAAGAGAGCGAGGGTCCAATCCCTGCTGGAGGACCCCCGGGAGGGAAAAAAACCGACCCCCCGCCCCGAGCCGAAGGAATCCACCATCGACTTGCCGCTGATCAAGGGCAGGCCCGACCAAACAGTCAAAGTCGGGTCAGGACTACCCGAACAGGAGCAACAGCAGCTCGTCGGTCTTCTGCAAGCCAACGCCGACATCTTCGCTTGGACGCCATCTGACCTGGTAGGAGTCCACCCGGAAGTCGCACAACACCACCTAAACATCTCGTCCGATGCCCGTCCGGTGAAACAAAGGCCCAGGCGGCAGGCCCCAGATCGGCAACTTGCCCTCCGAGAAGAAGTAAGCCGACTTCTGGCGGCCGGTTTCATAGAAGAGGCCAGGTACCCACAATGGCTCTCCAATGTAGTCCTTGTCAAAAAGCCTAATGGAAGCTGGCGGATGTGCATTGACTACACCAATCTTAACAATGCTTGCCCAAAACATTGCTACCCCCTACCGAAGATCGACCAGCTAGTCGACGCCACAGCCGGCCACGCCCGCCTGTCGTTTATGGATGCCTTCTCCGGGTACAACCAAATCAGGATGGCGCCCGAAGACCAAGAACACACAGCTTTCCTCACCGAGCAGGGGATATATTTTTACAAAGTCATGTCGTTCGGGTTGAAAAATGCCGGGGCCACCTACCAGAGGACGGTGAACAGGATGTTCGCCCACCAGATTGGACGAAACATGGAGATATATGTCGACGACATGATCGTGAAGAGCCGAACAGCCGAAGCTCATTCTTCCGACATGGCTGAAACATTCGACACCCTGCGAAGGTTCGGCCTGCGCCTCAACCCTGCCAAGTGCGCCTTTGGCGTAACCTCGGGAAAATTCCTCGGATTCATCATACACGAGAGAGGGATTGACGCCAACCCGGAAAAGGTCCAGGCTATCATTGACATGCAGCCCCCTCGGACGATCAGAGACCTGCAGCGCCTTAACGGGAGGCTAGTCGCCCTATCACGTTTCCTTTCCCGATCGGGAGATCGCTGCCTCCCCTTCTTCAAGGCCCTGAAGGATCCGAAGAACTTCCGATGGACGACGGAATGTGAGAGGGCCTTCGAGCAGATGAAGCAACACCTAGCCAACCTCCCCCGACTCGCCTCAGTCTCCCCAGAGGAAAAATTGAGTCTCTACCTCGCCGCCTCCCAGCACGCGGTCAGTTCGGTTCTAGTCAAGGAGAACTCCGGCGACCAACTGCCGGTCTACTATGTCAGCCACATGCTGAGCGGGCCAGAGGGAAGCTACCCGCCAATCGAAAAGCTGGCGCTGGCGCTCGTCCTGTCGGCACGAAAGCTCCGCCCTTACTTCCAGGCCCACCCGATAGAGGTAATAACTGACCGGCCGCTTCGGCTCGTTCTGTCTAAATTCGACGTTGCAGAGCGCCTCCTCAAATGGGCAGTGGAGCTCGGCGAGCACGACATACAATACACACCTCGGACCGCCATCAAAGCCCAGTCCGTGGCAGACTTTATCGCGGAGTTGATCCCGAGTACAGGCGAAGAACTCGAGCCGCCGCGTGACACGTGGACTCTCCACGTGGACGGGTCGGCCAACGCAAAGGGCGCCGGCGCAGGGCTGGTGCTGGTGACACCTGACGGCCGCTCGATTGAGCGCTCCTTCCGCTTCGGGTTCAGGGCCACTAACAACGAAGCAGAATACGAGGCTCTCCTAGCGGGGCTCCGATTGGCACTGGAGATGCGGGTGACCGACATACGCGTAATCACCGACTCACAACTGGTGGCTAGGCAGCTCGACGGCGAATACGAAGCCCGGGACCCGACCATGGCGAAATACTTGGCACAGGTAAAAAACCTTGCCACCAAATTCGTCCATTTTGAATTGTCGAATGTTCCCAGGAGCGAGAACCAGCGAGCCGACACCCTGGCAAAACTGGCGTCCGGCTCGGCCCCCAGGGCTCGACCCGAGACCGAAGGGCTCCCCCACCGAGCCATAGAGGTCGTCACCACAGTCACGGATGGCGCGCCGGCCACTTGGGTGCAAGAGATGCTACGCTTCAAGCGGGACGGAACCCTACCCGACAACGAAACCGCGGCTCGACGCTTGCGTCGGACACAGGCATGGTACTCTGAAGAAGGAGGACGGCTGTACAAGCGGTCTTTCTCGCGCCCCTTGTTACGCTGCCTAGAGCTGAACGAAGCTCGGACAGTTCTATCCGACATGCATGAAGGGGCCTGCGGGGAACACATAGGCGAACGAACCCTGGCGCACAAGATGCTCCGACAGGGATACTACTGGCCGACCATGCGCCAGGACGCGAAAGCTTTCGTTCGGCGATGCCGCTCATGCCAGGAACACGCCCGCACCGTCCAACGGCCGGCGGTCCTGTTCACCCTCGTCGACTGTGCTTGGCCATTCGCGCAGTGGGGGCTGGACATACTCGGGCCTCTCCCACCCGCCTCCGGCCAGCGGAAGTACATCATCGTAGGAGTGGACTACTTTACCAGGTGGGTCGAAGCCGAGCCCCTAGCCACCATTACGGAGTCACAAGTGGAAAGGTTCGTGTGGAGAAACCTCATAACTCGGTTTGGTCTGCCCCAGTCCATCGTCACCGACAATGGGCCTTAATTCGCCGGCAGGAGGTTCCGAGAGTTTTGCGCCGAGCACAAAATTCAGCTGAGATTCAGCTCGGTAGCTTATCCCCAGGCGAACGGGCTAGCTGAAGTAACCAACCGGTCTATCGTCGACGGCCTCAAGAGGAGGGTGTCCGCTGCCCGATCGGCTTGGATCGACGAGCTCCCGAACGTCCTGTGGGCGCTGCGCACTACCCCCAAGACCCCGACCGGGGAGTCTCCCTACAGCCTCACGTTCGGGACCGAGGCCGTATTACCATCCGAGGTAGCTGTCCCAACTCCGCGGACAGCAGGCTACAGCGAGGAGGCCTCGGGTGAAGGACTCCGATCCAACCTAGATCTGCTCGAGGAAAGACGGGCCAGCGCACACCAGAAAGCTCTTTCTTACAAAAGAGCCGTAGCGAGGGTCTACAACCGGAGGGTGCGACCCCGGTCGATAAAGATTGAGGACCTGGTCATGCGCAAAATCGAGGTCAGCCACCCAACCCAAGTAAGGGGGAAACTGGCCCCGAAGTGGGAAGGACCCTATCGGGTCATCGGAGTATCCCGACCGGGGACGTTCCGACTCGCGACAATGGACGGCGACCCCGTGCCCCGGACTTGGAACATACAGAACCTAAGAAAATACTTCATCTGAAGACGTGGGCACTACGCAAACACAGAAATCAGAAGAAAAGATCATCTTATTAAAAAGGAGGGGATACAGAGCCATAACCATGAGGAACAGAAACCAAAACTCTTACAGAAAACCCCTCACACCCTCGACCTCGACTCTGACATACAAAAAAAAAAACACTCATCACTCTCCTGGAGTCTTCGGGCGGTCGTCGAATGGCACGTCCTCCGGCATGTCCACCTCCAGATCCACGAGATGAGAGGCGAAGGGATCCCTTTCCACCTTGGAGCCAGGAGGGCATGAGCCGAAGCGACCTAGGGCGATTTTGTATCCATACTCGTAGGATACTCGCCCCATTCGGGTCAATCCGAGCTCGAAGTTCTCGGACTTCTTGTAAGCTTCGATCGCCTCTTTATCCTTCGACGGGCGAAGGCGAACCTCCTCGGCTAGCGCGTCCAAAGCTGCGCGGGCTTCAGCCTCGGCCTTTTCCGCCCTTTTGGTAAAGCCAAGCGCCTCCGACCTCAGTAGGCGCAGCTCCGCCCGATCCAAACGAAGAAACTCTTCGAGTTCCTTGACCGAACTGCCCGATTGCTCGAGCTCCGCCTTCAGGCGCGCCACCTCCTCCTCGGAGTCAGTCGCGCGCTTTTCCGCGGTCGCCACCGCCTCTGGCCCTGACCTGGCCCGAACTTCCTCTAGCTGACGGCACAGCTCGAAGTTGCGTTCGCTGAGGTTCCAGATTACCTGGCCGGCGTCACGCACTCGGTCCATCAGCGCCGTTGAGTAGTGGAGGCCCTGCCACAGAAGAAAGAGGGTCAGCGCACGGTCACAAAGACACTTGGAGTTAACAAAACACTTACCAGTGTCAGAAACCTCCCCGCCTTGTTAAGCATAGCCTCCGAGGGCAGGGTGTATAGGTCCCGAGCCAAGTCGGGGTGGAGCACGCCTCGAAGAAAAGCAGCCGAGGAATCTCCCCCGGCCCATACCTTGTCCCCCCGGGATAGCCCTTTCCAACGGGCGACTAGCGGGTCGGAAGCCTCCCCCGGTAGAAGCTCGCCCATAACCAACGACCATAGAGGCTCGTCGGCCCCCGTGCGTAGCCCGCACAGGTCATCCACCGTAGGCAGGCTCGACCTCTTCCCAGCCGCCCCTTGGCCAGACCCCTCCACTCGGGAAGGCCCTTCATCCCGAACGGCCCGCTTTGTGCCAACGGTTGTCGAAGGGGTGGCCCCCGCCTTGGTTTTCCCGGGACCGGCTGTTTTCGCCTTCTTTGACGGGCGCCCCTCCAAGATCTCTAACGGAGCATCTGCCGAGCCGGGCAACGGGTCGGCTGAAGGGCGCGGAGAGAGAGCAGCGGATGGGCGTGGGGAAGAGGCCGACGACGACCGGCCACCGCGGAGTGACAGAAGCTTCATTCCTACAAAGGAAACAAACAAACTATCACAAACTGTGGGAACGGGCGAGACGCGAAGAACACCCGCTATAAACGTACCCCCGAAAGCCGGGCTAAGACCCGCCTCGGCTAGCCACTCCTCGGTCATAGCTCGGATGGCCTGAGAACCGGGAAGGATTGCCCGAAGCCTCTTCAGGTCCCGACACTCCTCGTCGTTCAAGTCCGGGACCGTGTTATCTATCGCCCTCACTGCCCACCGAACTCCGAAGCCCCAATCCTTCGACCAGCTAACGTAAAAAAATCGCCCCTTCCACCCTTTGTTATTCGAAGGGGCCCCCCCAATGCGAAAGCCGGCCCGGGCTGACACGAAATAGCCCCCCGGCCCCTTGAGAAGACGGAAACAAGAGAGAAAGAGGCTTCGGGTGGGGGTGATGTTAGCATAATAACATTCCCCTAAGAACGCTACTAGGTAACGCCATGAGTTAGGCGCCACTTGGGAAGGCGAAATCCGCCACAGAGAAAGACAGGAGACAATGATAGGGTGAAGGGGAAGGCGCAACCCAGCCTCTAGGGCATCTTGAGTCAGCGCGAAACCTCGAGGGACCGGGTCGTACGACCGCTACCCCGGATCAGGTGCGACCAGAACAAACTCCTCCGGGATGTGATAACGCTCCCGGAGCTTTTCCAGCAACGACCCGCTCACCACCGAGTCGAGGTCGTGCGGCCACATTAGAGCCTCAAGGGCTCGCGCCGCCTCCTCGTCTGGAGAGGGCGGAGGCGTGCGCTCCCGGGCTCTATCGAGGGACAAAGGTGGAGAGACAGGCGAGAGGGGCATCCTTACCGGCTTTGGAACGAACAAGAGGGACGGCGAGAGAGCGACTGGGGGGTGACGGCATAGGAAAGGAGAAGGCACGATGACAGAAAGGACAACAAGGTCCAAGACTCAGCAACAAGAATCGTGAAACGGGCCGAGTGCACCGTTCATATAGGAAAAATCCCGCCAGGAGAGACGTCCCTTCGTCTCCCCATAGCGGCCAACAGCTCATCCGCACACTCACTCGTCGCATCAGGGAAGGTCAACGAACACCCCATCATAAATGCGGACCCAAGGTCGCTGCAGGGAAGGGCATGGAGAACGGCCACTGCGGCTCCTCGACGCCTAAGGGGCACGACGATCTTTTCGCATGTCCCCGAGACCACGTCCTCGGCGCGGCCAGCCCGCCCGAGACGTGCTCCTCGGCCGCATGTTCCCGAGACCACCTCCTCGGCACGGCCAGCCCGCCCGAGACGTGCTCCTCGGCTGCATGTCCCCGAGACCACGTCCTCGGCGCGGCCAGCCCGCCCGAGACGTGCTCCTCGGCTGCATGTCCCCGAGACCGCGTCCTCGGCGCGGCTAGCCCGCCCGAAACGTGCTCCTCGGCCGCATGTCCCCGAGACCACCTCCTCGGCACGGCCAGCCCGCCCGAGACGTGCTCCTCGACCGCATGTC